ATAAATCCACCATGGACAACATGATCTTCACCCCCCGCCCCCCCTCCTGAGGCTGCATGTTGCAGCCCAAAACTGATGCCCCTGGCAGGTTGTAGACCAAAACCAAGGTTGCAGCCCAAAACTGATCCCCCTGGCAGGTTTTAGCTCAAAACTGATCCCCCTGGCAGGTTGCAGCCCAGAACTGATTCCCCTGGCAGCAGGAGCTAGGTCTTAATGAAATCAAGTGAAAAGGTGGATCAGCCAGTGCCTCTGCTGTGCACACTGGAGAGCATTGCAAAGTCAGTGTGTAAGAGGACTGTGGATACCTTGGATGGTTTGTCTTTTACTAGTTTTAAATATGGCTTCTCATCTGCCAGGATCAGATCATTGCATAAATGCCCTGGGGTGGGGGAAGGTGCAAGGATATGTATTCCTTGTGCATATTTCTTAGTAAAAAATAGAAGCAGTAATAATATAGTAGCAAAGGATATTTGATCCTTTTCATCAGGCAAAATGCAACTTAGGATGCTTGCTATATGAAAATATGCTTTGAATGCATGCACTGAAGTGGCTATTACTTGTAGCCATTTTTCTGCGTTCTTTGGAAGCCCTAAATGGCCTTATGCTGCAAACATTCTCTTTGGTAAGAAGCCCTTCATCCCCCATGTTTGCCATGTCCTTCAGTGGTATACAACGAGACTGTTTGTTTAAAGGTTTTCAGGGTTGGCCCTTCACATTTCAAAAACTTGTCACAAAACATACTATACTGCTGGTTAAAAGAATAGGTTTAGTGAGGTCAAAATTGGGAGACAAAATTCATTTAGTTTTCAAATGCAAAGAGAAGAATAGGAATCATGACATTTTCTCCTAGGAAGTCCAAACAACTTGATCCCAAGCAAATGTAAGTTAGTGGGAGTATCTGCATTAACTTCAGTGGACTTGTATCTTTAGATGGCAAATAAAGCCATTTAAGGTATGTTTAAATATGTTAGACCTTGTGCCTGCAGTGTTGTCTCCTACATTTTCAGTGATTGTTCCAGTTCACACGCTTAAATGTTTAAAATAAAACTGTTCAAGCTTCAATGAGATCTAACTAATATAATCTCCAGGTTAGTTTAATATATTAATGTCCCTATGTTTGAAGTTTGAACATGATATATTAAGTAACAAATAATAAAGGTAAGGAATAATTTTAGGGGTCTCCATTAACACAATCATTTATTCATTTTATGCAGCATTTGGAGACAGTTTTTGGCTTCTGCTGAAATTATTTGTTAGCTACTGAGAGGGCCCAGAGGTGACTTCATAGTGGCATGAAATGGTCTGATTATTAATGGATTTTTATCCACACAACTTTGTTCCCATATAGAATATATTTTTCTATTGAAACAAACATTTTGTTGCTGGAGCAGCTTACTTTGCACTGTATGCAGTATGATCACATTGCATTGTTTATTGTTAGAAAAATGATTGATTGCAATATATTAACTCATTTATTTAATTATGTACAATAAAACACCTTTTAAAGAGTAATGTTTCTAATAAAGTGTTGTTAGAGTAATATTAATAAAATCATTTCTCTTCTTAAAGCATGAATGACGAGTATACACCTGATGAATTGTAAAAGTTTGTGATTGTAGAGAAGCATGTCAAAGACCCCTTAACTTTAAAATCAAGAAAAAATATGAAGGAACTGTCTGTCTGAATTTTTGGGCCACAGCATCCCACGGAGAATACAAAATGGCTTTTTGTAAAAGCACTGCTGCTAGTATCCTTGAAGAATGGTGTTTGAAGGAACCACTGTTAGGTTGTAAGAGGCATCAGAATGTCAGAAAAAAATTGAGACTGATACGAATAATAGGGCTTTTTATGAGTATAATGGCCATTAGCACTTTCTCTCTTTCAATTAGTGCCTTTTTCAAGGTGGAACCATATAGCACTGAGAGAGCCAGCAGTCTAGGGAGCCAAAAGTCAATACATGGGAAACAAAGAACTCTATTGGATTTCAAGGAGCAGAATCAAAATAGCACAATAGCTTCACCTGTTTCTATGAAATATGAAACTGGGCATGACAATGCAACAAAAGAACACTCCAAGGGAGAGTACCCCAAAGACCTTTTTTCTCTTCAGGAAAGAAGAAGGGGCGCAGTCGTTCTCCATATCATTGGAATGATTTACATGTTCATAGCTTTAGCTATAGTCTGTGATGAGTTCTTTGTTCCTTCGTTGACTGTCATCACTGAAAAGTTGGACATATCAGATGATGTAGCTGGGGCAACATTCATGGCTGCTGGGGGTTCGGCCCCTGAACTCTTCACCTCTTTGATAGGAGTCTTCATAGCCCACAGTAATGTTGGCATTGGAACAATAGTAGGCTCTGCAGTATTCAACATCCTGTTTGTCATTGGAATGTGTGCTATATTTTCTCGAGAGATCTTGAATCTTACCTGGTGGCCACTCTTTCGGGATGTGACTTTTTATATCATTGACTTGCTCTTGCTAATCACATTTTTTCTGGATAATTCAATCAAGTGGTGGGAAAGCTTAATACTGCTATCAGCTTATTTTTGCTACGTGACTTTCATGAAATTCAATGTTCAAGTGGAAGAATGGGTGAAAAAAATGCTAAGCAGGAATAAAGTTGAGAAGGTAACAGCAGCAGAATCTGAAGGAAAGGTTTGTTATTTTTAATATGTATGCATCATTATATTTTAAAAAAATTAAATTGTGTATTTTAATATTTAATATGCCTATACATTTGTAACACTACTATACCTTAGAAATCCCTTAATGTGACATTAAGATTTCTGTTTTAAATTAAACCAGTCTATACATCAATTGGAACATAAAATATGACAACTTTTAGGAGATCAGTTATTAATTTCCATAATAATCCAAACTTCAGTAGTTGCTATTACATCTACCCATGCCAGCATTTACCACACAGTGAGGATTGAGAAACTACAGCTTTTAATTTTATTCTCAAATTAGTCAGTAGCTGTGTTAATTATGCAATCTGTTGGCCAGAACAAGTAAACGTACAAAGCCTGTTATACAAAAATGTTTCTTATGTGAATTGGTATGTATAAGTGGAAGGACACATTTTTGTTTTTTTATAGTGACTTTGGGTCGCTAATCTCTCTGTCACATGGATGCTTGCTCTCTGAGCAATGGAGGGTAGACATGCAGCAGAGGTGGTATTTGGTCTTTGGTGACAAAATTGTCTCATTTTCATTGTACTTTTTGTTCACAGATCCCTTCTACCCATTGTGAAAGTGCCAGATAATAATTCTATATTATATAATTTTATAAATCAGCACTATATACAATATAAAATATATGGAATTATAAAGTATATTCAGAAGCAACTATTAGAACTTCTTTTGTTTGTAACACAAAGTCATCCTTTTCTCTAGAGTATGTAATAGTCAGATAACTTTTGAATCATGGAAATTAAATAAGGATATATTTAGGAAACTTGTTTTTAAGTTTGTCTTGCAAAATTTTGGTTTATTCAAGACGTGGTAGGTAATTCTGCTATTCCCCTGTGTCAACCCTACTTCTGAACGTGCAATGCCATGATAAGCTGTAAGTGGGCAGTGCAGAAAACTGTCATCTGTGGCATTTATCTTTAAGACTCAGTGTTGTAACCTGACAGCAGATGAACAAAGTTCTGAGAGCTCTACATAAAGAATCAAAAAGCTTGAGAGCTTAGGTGGCTTAATGACAAATCTCAATCTTAATGGAATGAAAAATCTATATGTTCACAGTCAGAGGAAAAGACCTTGAGGTGAAGTAAGTATTTACTTTGATTATCAGCCCTCTGTTAAAAGGCTTCAAGGAACTTACTGTAGACTAAAAAAGGAAATTCACCCCATGCAAAGAACACACATAATTAAAACTAAAAAGAGGGCTGAGTGGTATTAGAGCAGGGATGCTTAACCAGGGATTCTCCTGGGGTGCTTTTGGATCCTTTCAAGAATGTTGCAGGGTGCCACACAACATTAACACTGTTAGGTGTGCAAACATAATTCACAAGATAAACCCAGAGGTTTCAAATGGGAATCCACTGTGTTTAAAAAAAAAAAAAAAAAAAAAAAAAAAGACCTGTTGTGGTCTTTCTGAGTTTTTCTGAGAAGAATTGCTCTATCTTTCTGTAATCAAAAAACAAGTGAAAATAAGAGCTGACATTATCCAAGGGGTGCCTTGAGCCAAATGACAGGTGTCTCAAGTCTAAAAAAGTTAAGAACAACTGTATTAGTGGGTGAATTCCATCCTCTATCAGGACTCTTTCTTGGAGCCTGTGGTATTTATCATCACACATTATTTTGCTTGTCCATTTACTGGTAAATTGTGTATAGAGATGGTGCAATGCATTCTGGCATCTGTTATGTGTGGTGTTTTATGTACAGCACACACCTGCAGACAACCCGGTTCCCTCCATTCTGACCCGCAGACTGCCCCCATGCTACTCATCTAGTCTGCAGGGCAATTTAGGGTGAGCACCACTGTTTTAGGGTAGTCCTCATGATCATATTACCATAGTATCTTCATGTAAGTAAAGTGTCTCAAGGAAATATTAAGTATACTTTGTACAAGGAAATTGTGAGGATTAGAAGTCAACTAGAAAAACACAGCTTGTGCAGTTTATCTATGTAACAATCATTTGTCTAGAAAAGAATGTATGGATATGAAGAGATTTTAGATGTCATGGGAGTTCACTATAATCTCTTATTTTCCCGCTCCTTCTCTTTACGTTTTAAAAATTCTCCCCTCTGCCCCACCCAAACAACCCCTAAAAGAATGGTGTAGATTGAGGAAAATCTGGCAGAAATTGATTGCAGTATCTTAGTGAAAGTGAGGAGAGTAGGACAGATTACAAGTTCAGTTGGGGCACCATGTGGCCGCCGTTGTTTTCTATGATACCAAACATATTAACAGAACTCAAATGAAAAACATTCAGAATTCCTCAGCTTTACTGCTTCTGCAGCACCAGGTTACATGCAGGGCAGCAAGGTGGTGATCTCATTGGTGAACTGTTGGAGGGTGTGGAAGAGGTATGAAGGTTAAAGGGAAGGATGGAGGACGGATAGAACAGGAAGGAATTATCAGAAAATACAGAGCAAAAGTGGACAGAGACAGGACTGAGTTGGGGGATTAAAAATTAAGAGAAAGGACACAAGTAGCAAATTGTGGAAAGGGAACCAAGCTTGGTCTTGGAGTCCCGTGCCAACCAAGGCCAGGAATAAATTATATTTAGCCTGCTATGGAAGTACTAGGTCTCTGTATACTGATCCTTCACAGGAGTAGCCTGGATGAGCTTTTAGGATAAACCACCTTTTACTAACCCATGTCTTCCTTAGGTGGATGGAGGGAATCAAAGGGAAAAGGTAATAGCTGAATTAAAGGATGGAGAAAGCAAACAGAAACAAAAATGGGCAGCAGAAAGTAAAAACAATATTTTGATAAAGACACAAAACCTAAAGACAAGCAGTGGGAGCAGGGATTTTAGCATCTTCATGGGTCGTCTCACTATGGTAACAAAGGATTGGAATGACAATGCAAGGGAATAGGAACTGGATTTATGCTTCCATCCCCAATCATTAGACTTTGCTTTGGCTTAAGTATAATGGCAGGGTAAGTAGCATTTGTATATGTTGCATCCTCTTCTGTGTTTCAGCTTCCATTGAGGTAAGTGTAATTAAAATCCTTGGTTTTTAATTGTTGTTGATGAAATACTGGAACTCATCTGTTGTTGATGAACACTGGAATGTGTTGTTGATGAAATACTGGAACTAAAGCTATGGTTCACTATTTAGTGCAGTTATGGCTCTTTTTTTGATGACAAAGGAATTATTTCTGAAAGATTCTGTTTGCATTGTCTAATAAATATCCTCAAACAGCTCTGGCAATTAAAAAAACGGGAGTGGCAAGGGAATGCTATGAAATGACATCTGATTCAACAAGAATAACATTCCATCCAGATACCTAGGCTTGTGTTTTTACATGCCAGTTACAATATTTCTTAGTTTGCAGAAGATTGCCTGTAAAAAAACAAAAAAAAAACCCAAAACTGCTTTTAGCAATTAGATACAATGTTAAAATTGATCTTAAAGCTAACTTTTTGTTTTGAAAAATCTTAATAGGTAACATTCAATATCACATTCTGCTTAAGAGGTGCAGTCCTCTAAATGTGCCAACACTTTTAGAAGATGGCATTAATTGCATTATAAATGACAGGCAATTTGCAAATGAAACATTTAGGTAGTTAAGCTATTCTCTACCTACAGGCAGCTATAGCCAAAAATATGTATATATCCTACACTGTTGGCATGTCTACATGAGACGGTCACTAAACAGTTGACTAATTAGCTGTGCAGTAAACATCTTGGCATCTACATGTGAGTCCCTGTTAGACTGGAGTAAACTAATTTATTCTGTAGCAAGATAGCATTTGTGAATACAAGTAGTATCCCACTGTGGAGTAAAAAAAATCAGTAGTACCAAGTTGGGTACAGTATATCATGACTTAAGGTAAAACTTAAGTCACCAATGTATAGCTAACGTGGCACATTTAAAAATTTTCGAGTTTATAGTGGCTCTTTACAGTTTATATTAGCTCGAAGCCTCTCTCCAGTAAATATACATGGACCGTACATCCATAAACCACTGAATCTTCCCCATGCTATTCTGCTCCCCTTTCTCTAGAGGAGAACATGTGCGTGTGTAGCATTATTTTGTCATTTACAGGAAATTTGGAATCTCCTTCCATAGCCTTCCTCTAGGTGGCTAACCCCCACAAATACAGACATAAGTACACAACATTTCTGCATTGGAACCTTGCATGCCAACATAAGAGTGAGATTGTTTTTTCATCCTAGTCTGCAAATGGAGCATCATTTAGGTGGTTGGACCAGACTGTGTCCTGAATTCAGACGTTGTCTTAGTGCTTACACCTTATTTGTTTTTTGTCTTTAAAACTTTGGGGAAATATTTTGTCTACAGAATAATTGCAGTGGCTTAGAGGGCAATACATGGTCATTCTAGAGTTACACTAAAAATTTGGGACTGTATTTTAGGATTCCTACTAATGTATTTGATTGTTTTGCTACCTGCTGTTGACAGCAATTAAAACAGTTAGCCAAATATTACTCTCCTTTTCTCTTAGCACTTCTATTAATTGCTCCATGAAGAAGTGAATATAGTGATTTGCAACACTGGATTCTTTTGATTTTGTATATCTCCCGCTGGATTAGCAAGCTAAATATGACAGCATGGAAGCGTGATGCAAATGAAATGCTCTTAAATGTTTGATGCCCACTAAGTTTGACCATGCAGCTTGTGTTAATTCTACCAGAGAATGGAAGACTGAGGACCACTTGCTAAGAACAACGGGATGATATATATAGCCATTAGGCCTGTGTGAAGTGGCTAGTATTTGCTTTGGATTCAGATTTGACCAATTTAGGGGGCAGTGATTCGATTCAGTGATTCAAATCACTGTCCCAAATCGATTCGGCCGAATCTGGTTCGGACATTCAGCTGCGGCCGAATCAGTCGAATCTCTGAATCACACAGGCCCCATCTCCCACCTGCTCTCCCAGCCGCGGCAATAGCTGCCCCTCCTGCCCCAGCTCCCAGATCTTTGAAGAAAAAAGGCCCGACTCACTGGTTGCTGCCTGGTAGGGCCGTGATCCCTGCTGCCCCCCACTGCCCCACGCCATGTGGGAGGCTCTGCCATGAGCCCCTGAGTCCCCGTCCACTCCGTTGCCCCCCCCATGGCTGCCCTGCCCACCCCAGCTCCCAGTCCTTTAAAAAAAACCCCAAACCAAAACAAAAAACCCCTGATTCACTGGCTCCTGCCTGGTGGGGGAGGCGATCTCCACTGCCCCCCCACTGCCCTGTGCTGCATTGGGAGCTCTTCCATGAGCCCCCCAAAGCCCTGAGGCCACCGAAGGAGCCAGCGAGTAGGGAATGTTTTGGGGTTGTTTTTTTTTCTTAAAGGCCAGAGCTGGGGCGGGTGGGGCAGTTATGGGCAGGGGCTGTGAGAATGGGTAGGCATTGGGGGGATCATGGCAGAGCCCCCCTACATGGCATGAGACAGTGGGGGGCAGTGGGGATTGCCCCCCCTGCTTGGCAGCACCAGGTGAGTTGGGGCTTTTTTTTAAAGGGCTGGGATCTGGGGCGGGCAGGGCAGCCATAGGGGGCTAGGGGAGTGGGCGAGGGTCAGGGGGTGCTTGGGGGAGCCTGGGGGAGCAGGCAGGGGTTGGGGCCTGGCAGGGGTCCCCCTATGGTCCCCTTCCCTTTCCTTCAGCCCCCTTCCCTGCTCCTCCGCTCCCTGCTTACCAGCATGGAGTCCAGGTCCAGCTCCCTGCTGCAGCAGGTGGAGACTGCCCGAATCACCAAAACTCTCTGAAGCTTTCTGACC